CATGAGCAAAGTTAAGCATGCAAGTAGCAAGGATGTCGTGGAATTCATCATTACGCCGTGTGATGAAGAACTGCCAGGCTTGTGCATGGCAAAATGGACGAAATATGAGGTATCATCAATAAGCCCCTATTCGATATTTTACAACGAAACAGTGAAACTCACTAGCTTAGACTGGTCTTCGTAGAGATAGCAAGTGCAAGTGTTATTCATACTCATGCCTAATGTACCATCATTCCAGCCTGGCCAGTGTTATTATGATTACTATCAGTTCAAATGACAAATTCTGCATTGCATTCTGCAAATTTAGATAATGGATTGCGTTGATGTGTTAATGAGCTTCTTACCAACTGTGTTGTTCATTTAACTAGGTATATTTTCGAATGCATTTGTATTTAACGTGCCGTCGCATAGGAACAGAGAACAGCCAACAACATCTAACGAAATACAAATTGTTGGGATTCTGTCTCATTTTATTAACGTACAAAATAAAAAAATGGACGCCTTCTGTAGCGCTTAAGCTGTACACTAAATGGCCTTGATCATAACTGATAGACTAGCCTTAAAGCGCCAATTAACTTGCCAGTTTCGGCATTTTCGGTGCTTCCTACAGCGTCAAGAGGTTGGTCTGGCTCCCTGTCGGCATTATTTACTACTCCACACTGCTCAGGAAAAGGCATAACAAATGTTTGCCATGCGCCCTGCTAGACATGTTAGAATTTCACACCCTGTGGGTGGGGATAGGGTGGTGGCAGAAGTGTCTTTTACGGTTTCTTTGCTCCAAGGAAAGCAGACATCACTAGTGTACCTGGGGTTCCAGATGGCACTAGGGTCCCCGGGGTTCCAGACGGTACCAATGTCCCGGGGCTACGATATTTCGGTGGGCTCCACAGACAGCAAATGTACTCTGCAGTTTATACATATTGACCTTACGGATACAGCAGATGAAGAAGGTGACAAGAGGGCGAGTGGGGTTGAAGAACGGCACCAGAAAGGACTATACTGAGGACCACAGGCTGGGATGTAGCGTCAGTACCTGAACGGAGAAAGTACGAAGTGCCGTTCAAGGCTTTTAATCCTGTTCACGTAAGGGACAGAACGAATTATTCAAGTTATCGCATAGTAACATCGGAATCATTTGATTGAGACTTGCAACTCGGCCTCCTTTCCTGACCTTTCGTGTAGCATGTGCGAATGTACGATGCACAGTAAGTGTACGATTTAAGTCCAATCGTTGGAGGTTCCAGAGAGTGACATAAAAAGCATCTTTGAGAACTTCCTAAGATTCTTACAAACCTGTAAGTCATGTAAAATGTGGGGAAAGTTTCATGGCAAAAGTATAGTTGCCATCTGTTAGCAAAGAGGGGTCATCGCAAATCAAACAATATAGGATACCGTGAAAAAATAGGGAAATGTTATAATGCGCCTTTTGCTTGCACAACGCGGAGGATACCATGAGAGAAAACAAAGCTTTTATTGCTCGATGTGAGGGCAAACATGCGATTTTGGAAGAAGAAAAACAGGAGTTGGTTCATAAGCTACGCGAGTATCGCCAAGAATCATCAGTGCCAAGAAGACGAATAAGCTTTCGAAAATTGCACATACTACGAGTTCGATCGCGTGATTTTATCAAAGCCTAACATGACCATTGGCCCAAGGATTTTTCACAAGATAGTTCTCGTGCTTCTGTAATGGAACGGAAAAATTTAAGTCAGGTGTGTATTCAAGGAGAGGGGCACTAGGGATATCCGACCGTCCTTGTGGAATGTTTCTGCGTCATGATATGCATGCAAATACATTTGAATGGTACAAAATCAAGGTATCCTCTTAAAAATAAGTAGTTTGAATAAATGTCATCTTGCTGAAAGTCACGTGCACAATGTCGTACGCTTACGGCGCGATGAAATAGGTTTTTGGTGCAAAGTTCTAAGTTGTGCCCCACTGCGGGATCCTGTAGGTGCCCCTAAGCCAACTCGCTAAGTTTTTTGACAAATAATCTCAAAATTTCCTGGCTCAACGGGCAAAATGAAGGGCAAGACATGCCTCAAAGCACTAACAATTAGCGGGGTAAAATATTCAAATAAGAGGCCACTTTCCGGTAAATTAAATGAGGAGCTCTGACTGCGTCCATGCGAACAGAGGCATGCGGTCATTATCGTGGGCATAATAAAAACCAACAGCGAAAGACAAACAACCATAAGGGGCAATGAACCAGCTCAGAAAGGCCCCCTACAAGCGACCCCAATGCCATCAGTTTTTGACTACGGGACCATAAGTGATCGTCCAGAAGGAGCTTTGTTGGAACGTCATATCAAACGCAATGCAAGTATCAAATCATGCACGACAGCCTTTTTCGCAGTTTCGCAGCTCAATACGTCAATGTTCTTCCCTTTCCATTCGTTTTTTTACTATGCATCAGACACCTGAGATTTCCGTTAAATGGGATCAGTTTGCGGCATCCAGATAATATACATATCTTGAAACACTGTTACTTCAATGATTGAGCTACAAAATGTCAAAAGCGCTGGCCGGCCGGGAACTGGCCTATCGTCGGCCATGGCAAGATCGTACTATCATGGGATCAAATTATGAAGATGATCAAAGCATGTCACATCATGCACCAGCTCAAAAGTATTCACGCGCAGTAGACCATGTCAAATTATGCATCAGTCGATGCCAAACACGTGGTTGCACGTTGTCGGTACGCTGATCTAAACGAGAACACACAATTTAAAGCTAATACATGCTCATGGCATGTTGTAAAAGTTGCTACCTTTATGAATACAGTGGTTGCATCTACTGGTCAGGATGATACTTTGTGAATTACCTCACGCGTAATCACTCTTGAATTGCCCTTCTAATAGAATCAACTTTTAAGTGATTCTTTAGCGAAAGTGATGTGCACGCGAAGGAGTGTCGCCACGCGTTTCGGGCGTTTGATAGAGAGGGGAGGAACTCTGGGTTTAAGTCGTCCCTGCTGCCCCCCCCCCCCCCCCCCCCACCTCCCCCGCTATTCCCGCGCCCTTGGCTCTCCAGTACTCCAGTACTTCTATGTGCCTGCTTACTCGGCCACATGCATTTATCCTCAGAAAAAATTTAGGTGTGCGCCTAAAACCGACACGCTAAATATCGACGAGCCGCTTGAAAAAAAAATGTTTCACACAAAATATGAACACGCCTAATAAGGGTATGCAAAATATTGGAATCCACAAAATATCAAATTTGCCAAATATCAACTCCTCAAATATGGAATCTACAAAATGCCTATCCTCCAAAATGTCAAGGCGAAAATTATTGACACTCAACATGTCCGCAATGCAAAATATCGATGACTCAAAATATCGGCATCTCAAAATATTGGCAGGCTAAATATTGCCACTAGGCACGGAGATTAACGTACAAAATGCTAAAGAGGGTCAGCTATGTGTGTGAACAAATCATGGGTGGTATCGACGGGCTTGTAAGAGCCATTTCCATATAAATGTGTGTATGCAATTAGTTATTCATTTATATATATATATATATATATATATATATATATATAAATTTTATGGTCGAATTGATTTCTGAAATGTCCCACCAGGAAGAGTAGGGTTAAATTAAAGATCATCTTTGTGTTCAAAAACATTTGCCGTGGCATGAGTGGCAGCCCATTGCTACCTGGAGCTTACACACGACGTTATTGTGCTTGCATCGTCCAGGCAGGCTGTTCTTTTTTGTTTCGTTCTTCCTCATTAAAGGTCAAGGTGACTTGGATGAAAGATGGGATTTGAAGTGGGTGGGAAACGGCGAAGTGCTTTGGGTAGGCAAAGGGTGAATTAGTTTAGCGCTGTTCATTGCCGAAAATATAGTTTTAGTGCACAACCGAAGCTACTGCATTTATAGGCATGCCTCCATCAGAGACGTGGGGTGTCGCCTATAGAGGCCTCGCATGATACCCACAGAGGTCTGGTATTCTGCTCAGGGCCTTGACATGGCGGAAAGAAGGTAGGTGCCAACGTCAGAGCGCATGGTCACAGTACCGCTTGTTACTGGGTGCCCGACCAGGCTGAAACAGCTGGGCATTTTCAGACTCAACTGCCCGAGGACAATGTAAGGCATCCCAACTTGGGAACGATCGATATATACATATATATTTGTTGTTTGCTTGGGCTAAGATAACATTTTTATAAATTGGGACCTCAGCCACCCTCTCTACCTCTCTTCCGCACCACTGCCACTGCTTGCAGTAAGCTGAGTACGCCGGTCTACAATTTGGCCAATGCGTTTGTCTGTCAGTCTCTTCCGACAGAATGTGTCGATCTCGTGTTGCTGCGATTTCGACTCCTTGCCATTTGGATTTTGATTTTATTCATATGCATCATAATTGTTGCAAAATAAAGATTTCACATTCCTCATGCTAATAAAAAGACAAGGTGAAACAGTGATGGCGTTGCACTATTGCACCAAACGAATTGTTACAGATTTTCCGAACCTTTTTGTTTGCATGAATTCTGGAATTGAAACGCACTTAAAGTTGTGCTTGTTGCGTAAGCTCTAACCACACCATCCGATCCTGATAGTGCATACCAACGGTAGCAATTTGTGGAAGATTATGGCGTGCAGTAACGTTAGGCGCGGTCTGTACCACACTTCGGCGTCATCCGACCTTAAGCGCGTCTGACCTTTCATGTGACCTTTAACCTGACCAGTGGTCCATCAGCTTGCGTGTAAAACCTTGTAAATACTGCGGCAAAACGTTAGGAAAATTGTAACACTTGTGGTTGAAGACTACAGAGCGAAAATATCTGCGCTTGCAAACATGTAACCTCTAAGATCCGTACCTAAGCGGTCACGCTAGGTGAGTCCCTGCAGCTGCAACACTTCATGTTAGCTGACGGTAAAGCTCGCTCGACCTGCAACTTAACTCGTGACGATACTTTTCTAATTTGCAGCAGCATTTGGCCACAAAAGACGATCCAGTCCCTGGAAAATCAGCTCAGAATCATTCACAGTGGGTGCATTTATTCAAGGACACTTCTTTGCACTTCTAATTTGAATGCTGCAACGGAACAAAGCAAACTGCCGGTTTAGCGTGAACAGGTTCAACACAGGTGCCGTCAACTCATGAGGGCACCACCGAGACCCGCCTGCTGAGCCCGCCGGGCCGCTTGTTACCGCCCTTGAGACGATCGTAATCCCTGGTCTTCTTCTGGCCGGACCTGGCTCTCAGCAGCTCGTGCACGATCTCTGGGGGCTCCGGCTCTGGGATATCCTCCACTTCGACGAACGGCAGCAGCATGAAGGCCATTGCCTGGTTCCGCATGATCTGCGGCTGCGGAACGGACGGGATTGGCTTGTGACGTGACCTCCTCTGATAACTGACCCCGAGGATCGGGCCCGCTCTCCCTTTGGTAACGTCCAAATTGGTATCCGACGCCTCCAACGACTCGGCTGTTTGCTGACGGGCTTCGCGCATGCGTCGTGAGCGCTCCTTGAGCTCCTGCTGTCCGCGCATTAGCTCAGAGGCGGCCAGCAGGATGCCCATCTGCACCAAGTGCCACTTGGGGTGTTTGCCGCCGTGAAGCACCTTGAGTGTGGTGCTGGAGGCCACGCGGCGTACGTCACGCGGCATGTGGCCCGGCAGTTCGCGCGGAACTACCGGCAGCTGCAGATTCCACAGACGCTTCTGACCGAACGTGCCGATGAACCTGCCGCAAAGCGTCCACAGGCGCACTGAGCAGTCGGAGCTGCAGGTGACCAGCAGGTCGTGCGCCTCCACGAAGTCGACGAACATGACGGTGTGAAGGTGGGCACGGAACGAGTTGAGAATGTGCGGCTTAAAGGAGGGCTTCAGCCACTCCAGCTTCAGCATGCGTCGTAACAGCGTTAGGTGTCGGCCTAGGAAGGGAAACTTGGCGACGTAGAAAGACCAGTTGACCTGTCCCTCGTTGTCGATGCAGTAGTTCTCGATGAGCCAGACACGAACGTACCCGGCCGTGTCTCCGGTAATCAAGAAGCGGTTGCGCGAGTCCGACGCCAGCGTCAGACAATAGTCGTTCTCGGCATTGCAGACGCGGAACTTGTGCAGCAGGCCTCCTTCGTGATGCAGCGACCAGGCCTGGATGCTGCCGTCGGCGCAGGAGGCCATCAGGGTAGCCGTCTTCGCCGTGCTGACGCGGCTGGTGAGGAACAGCAGCTTGTGAATGGCCAGTGGCTTCTCGCGCGGGCTGCTGGTCGACGTCGTCTCGCCGGCGCCGTCGGCTGTGGACGGGCTGGACGAGTCCGCGTCGCTGGATGATTCTTGCAACCAGGTGGGGTCACCCTCGATGTTTTCGGCGGCCAGCGACCTTCGTTGGGCCTCTCCTGATATGGCACGCTGCTCGGACGCGCGCGTCATGATCTCGCGCTTGGTGAAGTCGAGCACCATGTTCTTCTGCTTCTCCTTGTACTTGGTCATGGCGGCCAGGCCGTGCGTGTCCTCCAGCTCAGGCACCACGTACTGATTGTGGCTGGAGACGCTGGCGCTGAGGCGGGTGTAGAGATGGCCCGTCTCCAGGTTCCATACAATGATCTCTCCGTCGTAGGCGCCGGTCGCAACCAGACTGGGGCTGCGGAAGTCCACGGTCAGGATGTCCTCGCGGTGGCGGACCATCCACTCGCGCACAGTCGTGTCCTGCCGGTCATCCAGGAACACAGTAATGCCGCGGCTCCAGCCGCAGCACACGATCCGCTGCTTGGCCACGAGCACGCCGGTGATCTCGCGCCCACCCTGAGTCTTCATCTCGCGCAAGCAGGCGCCGTTGTTGAAGTTCCAGATCTTGACCCTGCCGTCGCGGCCGCCCGTGATGAGGCGCCGCAGCGTCGGATCGAATGTCATGCAAGTGATCTCGACGGCCACGTGCTGACCGTTTCGCTTGGTTGTGTGCGCGTTCCTGAACTGCATCACCTTTTGGCCGGTCTGCAGCTCCCAGACGGTGATGACCGAGCCATGGCAGCCGGATACCACCTTGTTGAAGAGGTTGTTGTAAATGGCCGCCGTCACCACCCGGTCGTGGGACTGGATCTCGCGCTCTTCAGCGTGCACCACAACGTTTTTCTGCATGATGACCATGATCTGACTGGCGAGCACCAGCTGTTGGATCTTGGGGTTGTAGAACATGGCTGTGAAGGAGGGCAGCGAGACGTTGACTCGCAGCCTCTGTGGTGACACGGTTTGCACGCACACCTGCTCCCGTAGATCCCACACCTTAACGCACTTGTCCTTGCTGAGCGAGATGATCTGCTCGTCTGCTGGCCGCGTTAAAATGTGCGAGATGGGCGCGTTGTGACCGATGAACAGCATCGAGGGGCGGTTGGTCATGTAGGTGTTCCACACCCGCACTGTGCAGTCCATACCGCCTGAGGGCACGAGCACCGGCACGGGATCAGGGACTGGTGCGACCCAGCCTGTGTGACGGGTGGCTACGCATCTCTTCTCTCAAACCGTGCCATGGTTGGGAATGCCTCAGGCACCATCAATGGTGTAGATCAGAATAGCCGCCGCCTTCATCCGAAACAATTTGCTCTGCGCGAGCCCTGTGTGCTAGGAGTGTTATTGCTCCGGCGTTATTAGGAGCGTTATTGCTAGCATTGTATGCATACAATGCATACAACGCAACACGATGGACGGATGCTACACTTATTTTATGTCGCTCATCGCAGGCATGCGCGCGGCGCTTTGACGTAATGCATGTGTGGACAGGTCAATGGAATGTTTTGAGCGAGATTTTAGAGTTGTTAAAGTCATACCAGTCACGATGACACCCTGCACGTTGTCGTAGTCAAAGCAGGTGATACCCCTGCGTGTGCTGAAGATGAAGTTGGCTTTGGTACCGGCAGTTTCCGCTATCACCATGGACACTTCGTTCGAGAGAGCGCACGAGATGAACCCCGCTAGCTCTGGCACATATTTAACCTGAAATTTCAGCGGTTAATCATTTTTTTTCTCTTTGCCCACCATGCAGCTATGCAAGTAATTCATTGAGACCGTGGTCACAGCTCGTTTTGTTGTGCGCGAAAACAATTATTTTTGTGAGTCAAAGCTTTAACAAACAATAAAAATTTACAAAAGAGTAAAAGGTAAGAGGTTTGAAAATGAGTTAAGTTGGTTTATCATGAATATTGATGGTGTTCGCCCACCCGGCATCCACCATAAGGCATGCGAAGTACGCTCACCACTTACACCATGCAGGGCGGTGAGACAAACCGCGGCATACGAGAGGGCTTCTGGAGTAACTCAGCCATGTCATCACTACAAGAGACACAATAAAGTGCTTACCTGTTTCACCCATTCCCTATGAAGTGGACGGTATATCTTCGCCTCCACTGACGGTAGCTTCCTCTTGATGATATCGTCGATGTTGATCTTCATTACCATGCCGTCCTTGCTGGAAGGTATGCCGAACAGGCCCACATGCCCCCGGGATGTCCGTAAAGATTAGAAGGACTACTGCTCCCCCAGCGTCCCCGAGTGTCAGGAAGGCCTGATCACTGTTCTTCGGGTCAGCCCAGTAGTGCATACACAGCAGAGGCTGCGGCAGTCCCACCAGCATAAACACCTTGTCAAACTTACCAGCTGAAATGTCGACAAAATACAAATCACTCTCAGTAGTGCTGAGAGCCAGCATATTGTGGTTGTGGATGCACACCATGTCCGTGATCCAAAGACTTTGCGACCGCTCTTTATCGAATGGCTCTAGACGGCTTGTGCCCCTGTGAGTAAACTCCAGTGTCCAGAAGTTGACAATGCCATCCTTGCTCATGGTGGCGTAGCGTCCAGCCGCCAGGTCGATTGATGTTCGTGAGGAGGGGAGAAAGCAGAGCTTCTGTATTAGGTCTCGATGTCGCGTGTCCACCTTCCGTACGTTTATGGGCAGCGGTCGGTCTTTCAGGAGCTGAGCCATCATCTCTCGCTCTTGATACTCCAGCAGCATGTAAGTGAGGTATTCATCCCAGTCTACCCCGCCATCGCAGTTGGTGTCCACTTTCATAAAGAGCATGTTCAGCTCATGATCGGGAACGCCGGAACCCATCGTACGCCTCATGGCATTTTTGAACTCTTCCATGTCTAAGCCACCACCTGAGTCCTCATCTGCCTCCTCGAAGATGTTCTGCAGCATTTTTAAGTGCTCGTTGTTCATCTGGTCTTCGAGGCGGTTATCGGTCGGTGCGTCATCGCCACCTTCCTCTCCCTCTTCATCCGCAGGTCGTTTGGATCCCTCGTCTTCCTCGCCATCTTCGACAGCCACAATGGTGCCCTGGGCTGTGGTGGTCAGAGCCACAGCCCCGCGGCGAACAGCCGCGGTCTCCGAAACGTTTTCCCCGATAAAATACATGTTAAACGCTGGAAAGACCTAATGCAAACCGTGCTGTGCGAGTTCGAGTGGTAACGGGGTATTTGATAGCAGATCACCAAATGCTTGGGCCGCTACATTATTCCGAGTCAGGCTCCGAGAGGAGCGTTTTCGAATAAGATTCGAATTTTAGCAATGAATTCACGTGACTCAACACTTCAGTCCATTTCTAGTAGCACAGCCATACATCCTATGCTTGAACACGGTGACAACAGTTATTGAATTGTATGGTTATTAGGTATGGCTTGTGTCAGGCTCATGCCTCACGTGGAGGCCTCAGGAATTTCAGGAATTTCATGTATTCGTGATACAGTTAGTGATGCAGAACAGTGTTATGTTCGTTCCCTCCGTAAGGTAGGGGCATGTCACGGTCCCAAAAAAGACTTGAACATTTATCCAACAATCTGCATTTTGCAGCGACCCGTATCGCCCATAATCAGACGACAACTGGCGCACTAGCACGATGAATTGTGCAATATGGAGCGAAAGAGGTGATAACAGACGCGATGGTCACCAAAGGAGGCAGAGACCTTCGGAAGTTAATGCAAATGCATAAATACGACTGCGTTTATTCATTGGAAAGCCCGTCTTTCTGACATTTTAACAGGCACGCTGTCACTGTAGTGGCGTTTGCGTTGCACTGGGTGAATTGTGTTACTTCACAAACGCATTGCTCGATCATTGTCGGGCTGTGTGTTACAGTCAGACCTGTGTAACCAGGTAGAATCAGCAGGTCTCATGAATCTTGGATTGATGAGACCTGCTGATAAACCTGCTGATAAATTCTGGATTTATGAGACCTAGAATCAGCGGATCTGTAAATCATAAATGATGTCTGTTTTCATCTAGTAACTGCACTCATCCCTACGGTTTCGGTAAAAGACACAGTAAGCTGTCGAAAGTGAGTAAATCTTTAGCAAAATCCCGTCAGCCGCTGTTTTCGTGGCACCCATCATGCCATAGCATCGAGGTACGGCCCCTGCTGCTCATTTGGTTTCAGCAAAATTGATCAAACAGCTGAACACTCGTTTAAGTTCATGCATATAATGCCACTTCACACCGTGTTGTCATTTTTTATGACGTTGAGCTATGTTGGTGACATCCTTTGCTCCTTCTGGTTTGGCTAACTGATTTAAGAGCATCGAATACGTTTTAAGCCATCAAGCGTCCAGCTTCATACCAGTGTTTTAGGCCCAGGATTGAAAAGATTCGACGCAAAGGCGGTTGTAACAAAGTAGGTGAAGTCTGACTATTTAGCGTTATTTATTCGTACAGCGCTAGATGATCCTGTGCCATCACTTCATAGTCTTTTGATACTGTCTCCACATGCGGTACACTCTCTTTGATGTCGATGCCGGGCCTCGTCTCGGTGAAGTGGACAAGTTTGTTCACAAAAGCCAGACTGTTCCGCAACAACGCACGCTCGTTGGCTATTTTGCCCGTGGGCTCAGCTCCCGGTGCGTAGAGTGGCGCACCGGTCTAAGCTAGCGTGAGTCCCTGATCCAATATGTATGGATAGGGCGCTTCCTTCCATAAAAATGCGCGGCTGCTTCTCTTGCTTTTGGCGCGCTCCTGTCTGTAAACTTATGCGAAGTGTCTGCATGGGCTTGGCGATGTTCTGTGGTTGGGACTGGACGGATGGGTGTGCCCAAAGGCCTTAAATCACGCTACCCACGGTGTTGGGTTGGCTCGAGGTAACATGACTAATGTGTGGTAAGGGGAGGGCATTCACAGCGTAATATTACGCTCAAGCGTGGTTGCAAGTTACGCTGAGATTATTTAAAAGATGTCCTGACAGCGTACCAGCGTGCTCAGGGAGAGCATGGTTGGAAACTGACCAAAAATGCGAAGCGTTATGTTGGGCAGCCTCCAGTGCCCAGCTAGACCCCGTCCTGAACGGGCCCAGCTGAGCTTGAGGCAGCCTTTGCTGTAACCTGTCCGCGACTCCCGGCGTACACCGGCTTGGGGAATCCCGTTGCACGTGTTTGGCGACCACTTCTGCTAGGCTATTCGGTTACGGTTATCTGGACATAAAACGCTTTTACGTGAGCAATGCGATTCACACATTTGTTGGGTACCAGGAGTTGCCATCTCCCTTGGCTAGCAACTTCCCTTTACTTGGATCTCCGAGCGCTTTCCGCTGAGATTCGAAATCCTGCAGCCTACTAGAGTGCCCCTTCGTGGTGCCCTGACGCACGCTCTGGGCTCCTCTTTACCTTGTCTTTGGAACGCCCTTTTTCCAGGGTTGGGAAATGATTCTCCATGTTGCCTATGATCGTGCCACATTGTTAGCTCCCGTTAGTGATTCTTCAGTATCTGAGCCAAGGGCTTCTTTTGCTTACAGAAGTACGGCCCTTTCGCTCCCGGGTGACCAGCTAGATACCCTTCGCTCTGGTGGGGAGGTCAGTTTCACCCCTCCCCCCCTCCCTGAGATCTCAGGAACTAAGAGGGGTAGAGATACCAATTCACAGGGTGTTTTGGCCTTTACTTGATCCTGCAAAAGTCAGTGCTTGAGGTTCCTAGGTCATGACCTTCAGGTCAAGTAATGTCGGATGAAGTAAATCTCCAGGTTGGTCTCAAAAGTCCTCCAGAACCTAGATACCCGTTCTAAGCAAAAGGCTACATCATAATTTCAGGTCAGTGACCCTGTTTGACGTGTCGAAGGTCATGGTGACCAAAATTATACGAGACTGCTTTGAGTTTTGCATTTGAATAAGCAATAAAGATAACGCTAGGCAGCATGTTCCTGAAAACAAAATGTTGGCCTGGCTCATTTTAGCTCAGTGACCTATTCTGACTTTTGAGAAGTGCATAGAATATGTATAATGTGGTTCCTGTTATCAATAAATCGGAAATTAGCACCAGGAACTATCCTATACAGCGAGCCCCAGCGAACTAAAGCAGGTTGGCCTAAAACATTGGTCTGACCTTCAAAACTGTCCTGAGGTGACTGTAATTTGTTTATTCAATTTTTGTGTTGCCTGAGAAAATATCTTAGAGATGTATGACCTCGTCTAACACTTCGTTGTTTCATCAGTTTGAACAATCCTTAGACTGAGACTTCGCGGAATACATGGCCTGATTTTGACCCGCCGTAGGTCAGCGACCTTATAAAGCACGTCTAAATTTGTAATACCAAACGATCTGCTATTCGATTGTTCGTAGCTATGCAACATTTGGCGCGGCTGGGCTGCGCCGTTCAAAACCATTCTGAAAAACCTTCGGGAGGGGGCAATTTGACCCCCACCCGAGCGCGTGTTAATGGGAATGATCCACATTTGATGATGTTGAAGAAAGTTTAATGCACGATGAATTAAGCTCACTTTAGCTGTTGGTGCACTTTAAACTAGAAAACACTGCTTTAGACAACACAACTTTGCTATTGAGGAAATATGCTCTATAATAAGTCATCGCCTGATTGTTCATGGTTCCTGGCATAATATTGATTGGGGGTCAATTGACGGCTGTTATACCTTGAAATCCCCATCACGAACGCCAGATGTGGACGACTCGGCAATGATATTTTTGTTGGCCTCGATCGTCCCATGGCCAGTGAAGTGGCAAAACTTGAATGGCGTTATTATGGGGATCTGGGTAACCTTGAAACAGTTTGCAGGAAAACTTTGCACATCTTCGCGAGCGTGTAGCTCATTAACTGAAGAGGTTTAGATCTTAAGAAGGGTACGGTTTTGAATTGCACCGGATGGTCTTCAAGATGCTCTTTTCACTTCAAAACCCACACAAATGCGGAACGCTCCCTTTTCGGCCTCCCCTCCACCTAGGCTCTGGGTATCAGCCCACTTGATCCTATTGGCCCCTTGTTCGAACCGTCTGTGACAGGGGTGTCCGCATTGGCGGAAAGGGTGCCACAATTTGCGAATGCCGGGATGTCAATACCACTTTTTGGGTGCGCTTTTAGCTACGGTGTTTAATTTTTGCGGCTCCGATGGGATGATCGATGCGCCACCTATAGCGCCCTAGACAGAGGCGTGCCACCTGGTGGTTGCATCACTAGAATG